TCAATGTGGCATTACTGGACTACAAGTCACATTTTACTGTTTATATAACGCCTGGTGATGGTCGTAAATGACCGAAACATGTAACTTAATATAATATTTTAATAAACTTACTGATTGTATCGATATTCGAGCCTATCAATTATTTATTGGAAGTGTAGAGTTGATCTGATCGACGAAAAACTTACACGGCAGTTACATACACAACAGGATGCAAAGCATATATAAGATTATTACAATTATAATTGGCCTACAGTAACATCTTACCACAAAACTGTTAATAAAACGACGTACTCATTTAATTGGGGCACGCGGTAGCGTAGTTGGTTGAAGCACTATGCCACAAGCCGGAAGGTCGCGGGTACGAGTCCCGATGTGGATTTCTTTTTCAATTGACCTAATCCTTCCAAACGCACTATGGAACTGTGTTCGACTCAGCCTCTAACAGATATGACTTACCAGGAATCTTCCTGGGGGGTAAAGGGAAGTCGGCCGGCGCGTAAGGCTGACCTCACCGCCATCTGTGAACTGATTGTATAGATAATGTGGTGACCCTCAACGTCTCACAACCCATGGCGTATTACAGGGATAGCTTTACCTTTTTTTACTCATGTAATTGACGATTACATAAAGTACAGCGCAAACTAATTGCTGTGATTTCCTTCTCACACGATTACCGAACGCTGTGCATGAACAGCAGACCTTAAGTTGAAAAGCAGCAGTCTGATCCTAAGAGCACTCCTGACTGCATGTCTGCCGTACCCCACCGAGTGGCCCGGAAAGAGAAGGTCATAACAAAAGAATACGATGTGCATCCATTTTAAACATATGTAAATAATTGTACTTTTCCTGCTTACTGCCGTCGGATACAAACATGACTCACTCTATTACATGCATAATGTAACGGCAAGGCTGCCAACCTTCTGGCAGGATTAAGTGCGTCAGTGCGATATTCCGAAGTACATATATGATATGCAGACATTACATACACGACATCCATGTTGTCGTGTTAACGACCAAGTGTGTCAAGACGATATGTCATAAAACAGGAGGGCACTGTGACGCATTAAAATGCTCTGCGCGCTACTCCATGGCCTGTACTCCGCAAGCGAACTATACCGACCGAGCGACCGCCGCTTCTCGGCGTAGTTAGTGCCAACTTTTGCGGATAGATGGTGTCACGTGGTCGGCGCAACAGATCTCCGCGTCAGTTAATCTCGGTTACCTGTACGTTTCACATTTTAAAGCGACCACCAGCTACTCTTCACTAACAATGAAAACAAGGGTGAAGATAAAATCAATTCACATTACACCCCCAATGTTTCTTTTTTGGGTTCGGAACTCTGTGTTAAACGAGTCTCCCGCCTGACTAAAGCGGACACCATGGAACTCGATACGGACATTAAGCAACTGAAGACCCTGACAACCAAGTGAATCTGTGGGGTGGGTATACCTGCATCATTCAGTACACTATTTGCGTTATTCATGGATTATTTAACAACGTTTTCAGTAGCTTAGGCTGTACAGTGTCTAATGGTAGCGTAATTAATGTGTGATGAATTCAAAAGGATGTGGAAAGAAGTGGTAGTGGTCTATTTCAAGGTACTATCCCAGCATTCGCCTCGAGGAACTGAGGTAACCCACGAAGGAGAGCACCAGGCACCTGTCTAACACACGTTGAAGAGTTATCGCTTAAGCCAACTTGTTCGACAATTCAGTATTAAAACCTTAAGTTCTGAATGGCGACATGACCCAAAGGGGACGCAACTTTCATTTAACAAGACAGCGCGAAATAATTTCAAGTGATGGTACATTCTGACTCGTTATACACGTATGTTGATAAAACCATCTCGGGTTATCTGCCCGTCAGTTATTTAAAAATTACCGACATTTCGGGGGCCATCTCCGTCCCCATCATCAGGGTCTGGTGATGGGGACAGAGATGGCCCATGAAACGTCAGTAATTTTTAAATAACCGACACGGCTGGGAGCGCTAGAATGTTTCATCAACTTCAGATACCGTCCAACGTGGTGACATAAAAAGGTGTTGGATTCAATGCATACTAAATGTTTATGTTCCCGACCTAAATATGTTGGACTACCCTCTACAAAATGTCATTTAACACTGATAGGGCCCACTGCGTATCCAGCATCTTAACCAAGACATCTAACAGGACTACTGCTGTGGAAATGCACTGTACAGACAGTGTCTATCTATCTACGGCTCTACAGTTCTTTTGCTGGACCTTGGCCGCTTTTTCAGTTTCCTGCTCGTTTACACAGTCGGTAGGACTCCTCGGACGGGGGATCAGCCCGTCGCAAAGCCGCTACCTACACACAGAACACCGCAAACACAGAATAAACGCAGACAGACATCTAAGCCATGAGTGGGATTCCAACCCACGATCCCAGTGTTCGAGTGAACGAAGACAGTTCATGCCTTAAGATCGAGCGGCCACTGCGATCGGCTACTGTACTGTGAGTGGTATTTTAAATGCGTCTTAATGCAGCGTAAAAACTGTATTGTCGAGTTACTTGTAATCTTTCTGAAATTCCCGATCATCAATAAAACTGAATGGAAGAAAACATTCTACTTACGGATCTTCGTGTCTGGTTATAGCAGCTGACTATAAAGTTCTGGTTAAGTTGCCGCATTTTTCGGTGCTTAATTCTGGTAGACTACGCGGCATCACACCTCAAAAGACAGTACTGTTCATGGCTACCACCGTGAAAACCTCAAATTTCATATAATGTCCATTTATATCTACATAACCTGATTTCTATTATTCGGTGCTATAACCAGATTCCAAGCTCGAACTGCTGCAGATATTTCCGAAATCCTTAAGATATGACGCAGAAATCATTACATGGAAGCTCAGGTCATAGTGGTGACAAAGAAAAGGGCTCAGACCATCACAGGGTCTCTATCGTCATGCTACAACAAACAAAAACCTTTAGGCCACCGTAAGGTCTCTATCAACATGGTAAAAAAAGCTAAAGTTGTCCCTTTGCTGAACTAATTAAGCACTATGCCACGAAGGAGTATGGGGGAGTGGATGTATAGATCCAATTGTCTTGACCCCAGCACTAGTTGGAGGTTAGTGGTCAGCTTCATGCCCCTGCCGCTTTACTGTAACCGTCCTTACCTCACCTTCACTCCCCCCCTTGTTGATTGGTTAGTCACGCGTTGTTCGTCGCTCCTCTCCTTCTTTCTTCTTCTTCTTCTTCTTCTTCTTAGGTTGGGCGCCAGTAAGCTCAGGTGGTGTCGGCTTACAATAGTCGGAGGTTTATTTTGGAAAGGGGGTAAAGGTGATAGTCAGCTAGTTCAGCTGTGGGTAGAGCTGGGATCCTTCTCAGAGCGTTTGCTAGGGCCTCGCTTAGGACGGGGAGGGAAGTAGTTGGTTCAATGCTAATTAACACTTAAACACTGTGACCATTTATTGCGATCAGCACTTCCCTTCACCTGATGGCACACACAGTCAACACAAAGGATGCTTATATGTAGGTCCTTGTCTAGCACAGTCCTGGTATAACGGACGTTATTATTACAATTTACACTTTCTTTAGCACTCTGAACTTGGTTATACAGAACAGCGAAAAACACAGATTTGTTCCGAATTATTTACG